AGTGTCAGGGAGCAGGGATGTATTTTTTAGTGAGACCAAGAAAATGGTGTTGGGTTTGTTCCAGGAGTTACTGTTGGGAATATAGAAGTCCAGCATGTTTGATGGGTGAACAGACACCAGCGTTATGGTTATTGCTGGACTTGTGCCACCCTTCGCCTCACATGTAGGGACTCCTGGGGACACTCCCCCCTACCAGGCTTTTTGTCTCAGTGTGTTCAGGAATGGGGACCTGGTAAGTCCCCCATTTAGTGTGAAGCTGCCCCGGACTGCCAGCCAGGATTGGGAAACTGTATTGAAGCTCCTGACTGAGAAGGTCCAGTTGCAGAATGGGGCTGCGTGCAAGTGAGTATGGGGGCTGGGAGGGCTCAACAGTCCCCAAACAGAGCCTCCCCACTGGCTTCAGCTGTGGCTGAGGGTGAAGGGGCAAAAGGAAAGCACATTCGCCTACATGGGACTTCCTATGTCACAGGGAGAGAGGCCCCTCTGCCCAGCCCTCAGAGGCAGGGAAGAGCCTGGGCGACTGGTGCCGAGGCCAGAGGGCACCTTGGAATAGCTGCACTCACCCCTCAGTCTGCTGAATGTGAAGGAGCATTGCATCTACCAGCCCTTATCCTGCTTACCTCTCTCTCCCAGACTCTGCACCCTGGAGGGGCTCCCACTGTCAGCAGGGGAGGAGCTGGTAAGTGGCCATTACTATGTGGCTGTCGGAGAAGATGAGTTCAAGGCCCTCCCCTATCTGGAGCTGCTGGTACCCAGCCCTTCCCTGCCCAGGGGCTGCTGGTATGTATGTGGGAGGTGGAGGGGTAACAGACTGGGCAGAGGAAGCCACCCTCTGGGTCTGTGTGCTCTGACTCCATGCCATCTGCCCACTCCAAGCCTTTCCTTTTGTTGTTGTAGGCATCCTCCAGACTCGAAGTCTAGGGCCTACAGGCAGGGGGTAGGTGACGCAGGGTACAGTGTGGGGTGGGGTGGGAACGGGAGTGACTGTCTGACAACTCTTCTAGCACAGGCTCTGACCTTATTTCACTGCATCCTATTTTTTTGTTTTTTTTGAGATCGAGTCTCGCTCTGTTGCCCAGGTTGGAGTGCAGTGGCATGATCTCAGCTCACTGCAACCTCCACCTCCCAAGTTCAAGTGATTCTCCTGCCTCAGCCTCCTGAGTAGCTGGGCTTACAGATCCCTGCCATCACACCTGGTTAACTGCATCCTTTTTTTCCTTTTTTCTTTTATTTTGAATATAGAGATGAGTCTCACTATGTTTGAACTTCTGGGCTCAAGCGATCCTGCATCCTCTTCATAATCTTTTTTTGACTGGGCACGGTGGCTCACGCCTGTAATCCCAGCACTTTGGGAGGCCGAGGTGGGCGGATCACGAGGTCAAGAGATCGAGACCATCCTGGTCAACATGGTGAAACCCCGTCTCTAAAAACAATATATATATATATGATATATATATGTTATATATATATGATATATACGATATATATGTTATATATATATGATATATATGTAATATATGTAATATATATAATATATATGATATATACATAACATATAACATATACATAATATATATATCATATATGTTATATATATTATATATATGTTATATATATGTTATATATATATTATATATATAATAATTTTCTTTTTGGAACAGAGTTTCACTCTTGTTGCCCAGGCTGGAGTGCAATGGTGTGATCTCAGCTTACTGCAACCTCCGCTTCCCAGGTTCAAGCAATTCTCCTCAGCCTCCTGAGTAGCTGGGATTACAGGCATGCGCCACCAGCCCAGCTAATTTTTTTTTTCTGAAACAGAGTTTCACACTTGTTACCCAGTCTGCAGTGCAATGGCATGGTCTCAGCTCACTGCAACCTCTGCCTCCTGGGTTCAAGCGATTCTCCTGCTTCAGGCTCCCAAGTAGCTGGAATTACAGGCATCCGCCACCACGCCCAGCTAATTTGTTGTATTTGTAGTAGAGATAGGGTTTCTTCATGTTGGTCAGGCTGGTCTTGAACTCCTGACCTCAGATGATCCACCCACCTTGGCATCCCCAAAGTGCTGGGATTATAGGCATGAGCCACCGCACCACGCCCCTCTTAATAATCTTGTGAGCCGGGCGCGGTGGCTCAAGCCTGTAATCCCAGCATCTTGGGAGGCCGAGGCGGGTGGATCACGAGGTCAAGAGATCGAGACCATCCTGGTCAACATGGTGAAACCCCATCTCTACTAAAAATACAAAAAATTAGCTGGGCATGGTGGTGCCTGCCTGTAATCCCAGCTACTCAGGAGGCTGAGGCAGGAGAATTGCCTGAACCCAGGAGGCGGAGGTTGCGGTGAGCCGAGATCGCGCCATTGCACTCCAGCCTGGGTAACATGAGTGAAACTCCGCCTCAAAAAAAAAAAAAAAAAAAAAATCTTGTGAAAGAAAGATTATCCACATTTTCCAGAGGAAACTGAAGCTCAAAAGAGTGAAGTGGGCTGGGCATGGTGGCTCACGCCTGTAATCCCAGCACTTTGGGAGGTTGAGGAGGGTGGATCACCTGAGGTCAGTAGTTCAAGACCAGCCTGGCCAACATAGTGAAACCCCATCTCTACTAAAAATTACCTGGGCATGGCGGCAGGTGCCTGTAGTCCTAGCTACTCAGAAGGCTGAGGCAGGAGAATCACTTAAACCCTGGAGGCAGAAGTTGCAGTGAGCCGAGATCTTGTCTCTGCACTCCAGCCTGGGCAACAGAGTGAGACTTGTTCTCAAAAAAAGGCGGTGGTGGGCTGGGTGCAGTAGCTTACACCTGTAATCCCAGCATTTTGGGAGGCCGAGGAGGGTGGATTACCTGAAGTCAGGAGTTTGAGACCAGCCTGACCAACATGGAAAGACCCCATCTCTTTAAAAAAAAAAAAAAAGGCGGTGGCTCATGCCTGTAATCCCAGCACTTTGGGAGGCTGAGGTGGGTGGATCACAAGGTCGGGAGTTCAAGACCAGCCTGACCATCATGGTGAAAGCTGTTTCTACTAAAAATACAAAAAATAGCAGGACATGGTGGCATGTACTTGTAATTCCAGCTACTCGGGAGGCTGGGGCAGGAGAATCACTTGAACCCGGGAGGCAGAGGTTGCAGTGAGCCAAGATAGAGCCACTGCACTCCAGCCTGGGTGACAGAGGGAGACTCCGTCTCAAAAAAAAAAAGAGTCATTTGTTCAGAATGACACAGTATTGAGGGGTCAGACCAGAACTCACATCTTCAGGACTCTGACTTGTAGAACTTGATGCCTTTTTGCTAGGTTGAATGCTGGGAGAGAGAATTGGCATATTTGGCACAGTAGGGCCCAGGGGAACTTATTGCAGGCCTAAGCCCTCCCAAGAAATGAACCAGTGAGAATGGGGAATGGCGGTGGAGGTGGGAGAGCACAGCCTGGTTTCACTGGGCATCCAGGAGTGCCAGGCACCAACTACTCTGTCCCTGGATAAGGCAGGCTGATGGGAAGAGGCAGCAAGGAGGGAGGACATAGGTTGTGAAGACAGATGGCATCTCCTCTGCCATGTTCCTGCAGGCATCAGGGGCTCTCTGAAGCCTCAGTTGGGGAGTAGGAAAGGTAAGAATGGCCAGCAACCAGGTTCCAAACCCAGTGTCCTTTCTATAGGCCCAAGGCCACAGGGCACAGGTAACCCAGCCCTCTCCAAAGGAACCAGACCAAATTGAGCCATCGACTTTCTATGCCAGACCCCAGAAGACCATTCAGCCAAGAAGCAAGCCCCTACAATCTCATTCCCATCAGGTGAGGGGCCCCTGGGGCTCAGGCCCTTCTCAGCTGCCCTTTGATAGTGACATAGGTTGGTCCTTGATGTTGGGGATGTCCATGGGAGCAGAGTGCCCAGACACAAAGCTGGCACTGAAAAAAAAAAAAAAAAAAAAAAAAAAAAAAAAAGATAAAGGAGTTTGAGCCTACTGGCTAAGGAGACTACCCATAACAACAACAACAAAAAAACGCTGGCCCTGACCTCATCATAACTGTCTCCAGCTCCCCCGTCTGCATATCCTGTCCCTTCTTCACAGGCCTTGTCACACAAAAAGAAGCACCTGGAAAGGGCAGTGCTTAAAGCGATGAGACTTCAGGGGTGGGATTTAGAGGGGATGGGGATGGAACCAAAGGCCCACTTCTCACTTCCCTGCCATCCTGGGAGATGGTAGGGAAGGCAGAACCAGGCTCAGGGGAGGGATGCTGAGGGCTCTTCAGCCTGGGCATCAGCCAACGCTGCGTCCCTCTTTAGGAGTTACAGGAATATATGGGGTTCCCCACCCAAGGAAGGAGACAGCAGGGACCCAGGAAGTAGCAGATGATGAAGACACCCAGACAGAGGAGCCCTTGGATGAGGTAAGCTGTTGGATCAGTAAACAGTATATTAGGATGGGAGGAGTTCTGAGCTGGAAACTAGCAGCCCGGGGCCCCAGGAACAGTTCTCCCTTGTGATTGAAGGCAAAAGGATCTCCTAACTTCCCACCTTGTTAAATGAGGAAGCAGTTCCTAAATTCCAGTGTCTTCCTTTCTTGGGGTGGGGACCTCCTGGCTGAGAGCTGGAGGCTGGCCACTCTCTCACTCCATTCTGCATGGCCTTCCACTTCCTCCAGAGGGCAGCACAGATAGTGGAAGAGGCCTTGTCCCTGGAAAACCAGCCTCAGCCCCTGCTCTGCCATCTTGAGAGCCCGCAGCTCCAGAGAAGAACTGGGGACTATCACTCTGGCCACCTTTTGTCCTCAGCCTCCAGCAGCTTGTTCCTCAGGAGCCACCACCTCCCCTGGGCTCCCAGGGTACACTGCAGCCTCCTCAGCCCTCCCCGTTCTGCTCCTATACCCACAGCTCAGCCTTCCCTTCCTCTGAGCAGGGCAGCCCTGGCTGTGGGAGCTACTTCCTTATGGGATTCTCTGGCCAGAGAAAGTAGCTGACTGAACCTGGGAGAGGCCACAAACGTGGAAGCAAGTTTGTCACAATAAAATAATACTTATTAACTTCTGTTTACCACAGATTTATTGACAGCTACTACTCTCCAGGTGTTGTGCTGGGTGCTGGAGTCGGGCGGAGCTGGGGCTCACAGATGCTACCTGTTTAAGAGAGGCTGGCAGTGAGGATTTCTGCCCACCTCATGGGTGGGGCAAGCAAGGCTAATAGCTCATCTTCTGCATCTGCCACTCTGAGGCACCTTTTTCCCCTCAGTTCCACCTCTCAGTCAGCCAAGGTGCTCTGAGTCCTGGAGGCCTCCTGTTTGCCTTCTGGCTCCGTCTGTAGCTGGCCCTTTCTATAAAGCTGGGGTTCTGCAGTCCATGGAACCTGCCGCCATGATAGTCCAGATTAGGCCACAGTAATGGTGGCTGAACTGGGGGCCTGAGATGACAGTAGGAAGAGAGCTGCTGGGGCAGAAAGGTTGCGTCGAGTCTCCTGTGCTTAATTCCAGTAGCTGAACAGCACTTGAAGGTTACAAAACCCTTTCACTCTTGTTCTCTTATTGTGATCCATGAGGTAGCTGTTATCCCCACAAGAGGAGGAAGCTGAGGCCAGAGAGGGGAGGTGCTAGGTCTATCTGCTCACTGTCAGCACTTCATGGCCCAGGGGCTTCCAGGAGGCAGCAGAGCTGGTGATGGCTTCGGCCCACTCAAAGGGTAGACGGTTGCCCCTAGGTCTTACTCACTGAGCTTGTGATGCAGAGTGAGATTCCTGTGATGGTAAGCACCATGCCAGCGACTGCTCCTGGGATAATGGACAGAAATCAAGGGGTTCTGAGCTCAGCCATGCCAGTAACAGCTGGCACAGGGCTGTAGGAAGGGCTCAGATAGGGTCTGGTCCTGGGTCCCGCCTCAGCCTCTGTCCCCAGACTGTCCAGCAGAAGGGAACTCTGATGGCCACAAGGAAGCAGGACAGCTGCAGAGGAAAATGCAGGATGGGAAGAGGCCCTGTCCTCACCCATTCCAGGGAGATGGGTTCCGGGAAGGAACTGATACAGGTATGTCGAGGTCCAAATAGCTGCGTCCCACACTCGCAGTAGCCTGACTTACGTTTTCCACCAATATCTTCTCCAAGGGCCTTCCCAACAATCAGTGTGAAGATGATGGCCAGAGAGTTACAGATGGGTACAGCTAGGGTCAGATCTGGGTGGTCAGAATGAAAAGAATCCCTGAGATGCAACAAATGCCTTTCTAAACACAAGACACTTCCATCATCATCATTTCGTATCTTTAAAAAAGGTATAACCCCATCTTCCAGATGAAGTCACCGCACATTTCAGGACTCAGACCCAAATATCCTGGCTCCACGTTCAGTGCTTCCCCAGGATTCCAGCATTCCCCAGGATTCCTGAACTCTGAGGTCTGGTACCAGCCTGGTTTGATAATGAGAATGAGGTCTTTGCACTCAAAAAGAACTTGTGAGATTTCAAGGACATCTGGACACATAGGCAGGCACCCAAATCCCAAAGGATGCAGTAGAAAGTCAAGTAACACCAAGCACAGCCACCATTTATTTTTTTTCTTTTCTTTGAGATGGAGTCTTGCTCTGTCACCCAGGCTGGACTGCAGTGGTGTGATCTTGGCTCACTACAGCCTCCGTCTTGTGGATTCAAGGGATTGTTATGCCTCAGCCTCCTGAGTAATGGGATACAGGTGCCTGCCACCATGCCGTGCTAATTTTTGCATTTTTAGTAGAGATAGGGTTTCAACATGTTGGCCAGGCTAGTCTCAAACTCCTGACCTGAGGCGATCCGCCCACCTCAGCCTCCCAAAATGCTGGGATTACAGGTGTGAGCCACTACACCCGGCCATATAGCCACCATTTTACATATTTCAATTTTCACAACACTGCAAGGAAGGGATTATCACCATTTTGCATAAAGGAAACTAAGGCAAGTTGAGGATTTAAACTGTGGTTTGTCTGACTCCAAGGTCTGCACTCTTATTGAATTAAATGGATATGGACAAAGCAGAACATTAGGTGAAGCACATTTTGCTTCTGTTTCAGCCCAAGCTCAGGCCTTATGGAGTTAAAAATAAAAGTGTCAGAAGAAAGAAGCCAGGTACCTGTTCAGGACATTGGGGTGGATCTATGGTGTGGAGAGAGGGTATCATAGCCCATGATAAGGATCTGTTCCTTAATTTTGAAGTTCCAAGGGGCTGACTGCCGATAAGCAAACTTGAAAAAGAGTAATGGAGTTGGCTGGGCGTGGTGGCTCATGCCTGTTAATCCCAGCACTTTGGGAGGTGGAGGTGGGAGGACTGCTTGAGGTCAGGAATTCCAGACCAGCCTGGCCAACATGCTAAAACCCCATCTCTACTAAAAATACAAACAATTATGGAGGAACAAAGCGGGCACCAAAAAAAAAAAAAGAAAGAAATACAAACATTAGCCAGGCTTGGTGGCACATAATCCCAGCTACTTGGGAGGCTGAGGCATGAAAATTGCTTGAATCCAGGAGATGGAGGTTGCAGTGAGTTGACATCAAGCCACTGCACTCCAGCCTAGGCGACAGGGCCAGACTCCATCAAAAAAAAAAAAAAAAAAAGGTAGGGGAAAAAAGAAAAAGACTAATGGAGTTAACTTAAAATTTGTTGAGGGTAGATCTCCTGTTAAGTGTTCTTATCACATTAAAAAAAGAGCCACATACACATAAAAAAAAAAAAAAGACAGACAAATCAGCTGAGTTTTCCATGGTAACAAGACTCAACTGCAGACCAGATGCTCACACTGGCTCCTCAGCACATTCTTTCCCAGCACTCCCAGGCCTTGCCTTTGTGAGGCAGAGAAGGGAACTGTCCTGCTCCTCATCCCCAGGAGGCCCCAGCATAGAGGCATTACCCATCTAAGAAATTGATACAACAACCCCACCTACAAAGAGTTGTTTTCTTTTTTTGTTGTTTTTCATTTTTGTTGTTTTTGAGACAGGGTCTCACTCTGTTGTTCAAGCTGGAAGTGCAGTGGTGAGGTCACTGTTCACTGCAGCCTCAACCTCCTGAGCTCAAGTGATCCTCCCACCTCAGCCTCCTGAGCTCAAGTGATCCTCCCACCTCAGCCTCCTGAGCTCAGGTGATCCTCCCACCTCAGCCTCCTGAGCTTAGGTGATCCTCCCACCTCAGCCTCCTGAGCTCAGGTGATCCTCCCACCTCAGCCTCCTGAGCTCAGGTGATCCTCCCACCTCAGCCTCCTGAGCAGCTGGGACTACAGGCACACACCACCAAGCTCGGGTAATTTTTGTATTTTTGTTGTTGTTGCCTAGGCTGGGCTCCTAGGCTCAGGTTATCTGCCCACCTGAGCCTCCCAAAGTGCTGGAATTACAGGCCTGAGCCACTGTGCCTTACCCAGAGCTGCCTTCTTAGGTTTACATACCTTACAAGGAGTGTCATGGCTGCTAAGGTCTGGTTTGCAGCAGTAGATGGGGGAAGGAAGCAGCATGGTGCAATGGGAGAGTGAGGGCATCAGAGTGAGGAAGATCAGAGTTTCCCTTGTAATCTTGGTTAGGATATTCAAACATTTACCTTGTTTCCCGACATGTAAAATAGTGATCACAGTATACCATTTCTTTTGTTGGGTTGTTTTAACATGAACTGTGATAATGCATGGATAGTCCCTGGCTAAAGTGGATGCTTCATAAATAGTGACTATTGTTCTGGTTATTAGAAAGGATGGATATTCAAGAATACAGGCAGAGAGGGTGATGAAATAAAAAGATCCTAATATTGTAATGTGATTAAAACTTGGTGAATGGCCAGGCGCGGTGGCTCAAGCCTGTAATCCCAGCACTTTGGGAGGCCGAGGCGGGTGGATCACGAGGTCAAGAGATCGAGACCATCCTGGTCAACACGGTGAAACCCCGTCTCTACTAAAAATACAAAACATTAGCTGGGCATGGTGGCAC